CCTGACAGGGAACACAACAGAGAGTCCCAGCTGGAGCAGGAGAAAGGTGGGGTACAGAACTCAAATTCTAGTAAGAAGACCAGACTTACTGGTCTGACTGAGACTGGAGGAACCCTGGAAACCCTGGCCCCTGGATTCTCTATCAGCCCAGAGCGAAAACAATATCCGAGGCCAACTCTTTAGACAGGGATTGGACTGGACTGTGGGATATAAAGTAATACTCATGAGGAGTGTGCCTCTTAGCTCAAGTAGATACAAGAGACTAAACAGGCAGCTTCTGTCCGGAGGTGAGATGATGAGCCAGAGAGGATTAGGAGCTGGTTGAATGGACATGGGGATTCAGGGGTGGAAAGGAGGAGTGTGCTGTCACAGTATGGGGAGAACAGTTAGAGTCACATAACAATGTATGTATAAATTTTTGTATGGGAAAATAAAAAAATATAAAAAAAAAATTTCATTGAGTGTCCACTGGGCTCTGAGGATACAGAGAGCAACAGAGAAGTGGCCGCCAATTTTCTGGTGATTGTACTGTGATGGGGTCACACTGTGAGGAGGGGCCGAGGGACTCTGGGGAGAGGCACTGATCCCAGACTTAGTGGGGTTCAGGGAAGGCTCCTGAAGGCCTGACATCTAAAGGTCCGAAGAGGAACTCTTTTTTTTCTCTCTCTCCTCCAGCTTCTTCATCTGCCCAGCTGCTCAAACCAAAAACCTCTAAGTCATCTGGGATCACTGTCTTTCTCTCACCTCCTGTCACCTCAAACCTACCGATGCTGCCTCCAAAATACAGTACATCCCGGTCGTCAACCTCCTTCCCTGGACCACAGCCATAGCCTCCTACTGGCCTCCCCATCTCTGCTTTCCCCCCTGTAATCCCAGAATGAAGCCAGAATGAGATTTAAAAAATGGGACTCAGATCAAATCACTCCCCTGCTTAAAACTCTTCAATGTGGCTTCACATTGATCTTTGAGGAAAAAATCCAAGCTTCATTCTGTAACCCGCAAAACCCACATAATCTGGCCCTGCTTCTCCGTCCAGCCTCACTTCACACCAGTCTCCCTCTTGTTCTTGGGGCAGTAGCCACACTGGCCTCCTGGCTGTTTTTCAATGTGCCAAGCCCATTCTCACCTCCAAGCCTTCACACGTGCTGTTCCCTCTGCCGGGAATGCTTTTCCCACTGGCTCTTCAGCTCTGTCTTAATTATCTAGTGCTGCTATAACAGAAATACCACAAGTGGATGACTTCCACAAAGAGAAATTTATTCTCTCACAGTCTATTAGGTTACAAGTCCAAATTCAGGGCATCAGCTCCAGGGGAAGGTTTTCTCTGTCTGTCAGCTCTGGAGGAAGGTCCTTGTGATGCATCAGTCTTCCCTTGGTCTGGGAGCATCTCAGCGCAGGAACCTCAGGTCCAAAGGACGTGCTCTGCTCCCGGTGCTACTTTCTTGGTGGTATGAGGTTCCCATGTGTCTCTGCTGGCTTCTCTCTTTTATATCTCAAAAGAGATTGGCTTAAAACACTGTCTAATCTTATAGACGTCATCAGTATAACTGCAGCTAATCCATTTTATTACATAATAGTGATAGAGTTTACAATGCGTAAGGAAATCGCATCAGATTACAGAATGGTACACAATCATGCAATACTGGGAATCATGACCCAGCCAAGTTGACAGGTATTTTGGGGGGACACAATTCAATCCATGACAACCTCCTTCTGCGCTCAGTTCACATGTTCTCAGAGAGGTCTTCCCTGATCACCATCTCACACGCCTGTCCCTTCCTCGGTGCCCTCTCCTCCCTCCCCCCGCATATGTGTGTTTCATACTGTTTTTCTCTATCTGAAATCATTTTGTTTGTTTACTTGTTTATGGACTTTCTCCCTTTATTGAACATAAGTTCCCTAAGAGCAGGGGCCATGTCTGTCTCTGGCTTGTTTGCTACAATATCCACAGCTCCTAGAACAGTCCCTGGCACATAGTAGGTTCTCAATTAATAGTTGGTGAGTGAATGAATGATTAGGAGTTAGCCCCGGGAAGGGGTGGGTCAGTGAACATTGTCCCAGGTGAGGGAACAGCACACAGCACATGGTATAGCTCTGGGGCCTTGTGGTGGCCGTACCTAGGCAGTGGTTGGTGTTGGAGACAGGAAGTCCATTCCCTCTGACTCCATGTCCTGTACTGCAGGCGGCTGGTGGAGCGGCTGGAGACCATGAGGCGGAACGTGATGGGCAACGGCTTCTCCCAGTGTCTGCTCTGCGGGGAGGTGCTGGGCCTTCTGGGCAGCTCATCAGTGTTCTGCAGAGACTGCAGGAAGGTAAGGCTCTGCTACCCAGCCTGGACCCGCTCTGCTGCTCTGTTGGTCTGCACCCTGGCTCCCAAGACTGTGTGTGTGTGTGAGCATACGTGCAGAGGCACACGGTATCCTTGCTTCTCAGCAAGAAGGGCCAGGGCCTGAGGGTCAGATGGCCTGGCTTTTAGGACCAGCCCTAGGGAGTGAACCTCTCTGTCTCATAGGCCTGGGTGTGAACCCAGCGCTTCCACTAGTCAAATGACCTCGGAGAACTTGTTTAATATCTCAAGCCCCGTCTTCCTCATCTGTAAAATAGGGATAATGAGAATATGTATCTCACAGAGTTATGAGGATTAAATATTATTACATGCAAAACTCTTAAAGCCTTGCCTGGCACATAATTATTCAATAAATATTAACAGTTGTCATTAGATAAATACTGTTCTTTTCAGGGCCGAGTAGTATGCTAGCTTTGCCCTTTCTATTCTGTGTGTCTGATCTGTTGATCCCTGGCCATTCAAAGGAGAATAATATTTGCAGCAAGGTAAAATGGATTTTCTCCCTGTCTTATACTCCACTGATTACAGGTAGTCCTCAACTTACGACACATTTCCGTTCCAATGTCCATCGTAAGCCGGTTCTGACATAAATCGAATACCTCTTTTTTTTTAAGTTTTCATTATTATTGCTTTTTATTATCTGTATCTTTGTATCTTTATAAACCTGATCTTTATTTGTCTTTGGGGGTTGGAAATATTACATATAAACTTACAGGTATATTTTAATACATGTATACATACATAAAAAATACACAAATCATAAAAATTTACTCTGATGATGAAGAAGAGTTGGACGACGTTGGCATTTTGTCAGTTGCAGTAATAACTTTACCTGTGGAAGGTTCTGTATCATCTGGATTATCCCTGGGAATGGGGATGGTGTTTCTAGGCAGAAAGTTGGTGAGAGTTGTCTGTATGGTCCTTTTCTTTTTTCCTTCATGTATTTCGAGGTAACATCTCACTGCTTCCCAAATCTGCCTGTCGACTTTAGCAAAGTGATCAGCGTTTGGGTCCCTGTTTTCAAGCAACTGAAGCCCCTGATTTAGTTTAGAAAAAACTTAAGCTAATCCGTTTACTGTAAAAATTTTTGACAAGTCTCCTTCCTTTTCCTCATTATTTCTTTTTTCTTCAGCATTTCTTTCCTCTTCAAAACCCGTTAAGTCCTGATCTGTCAGTCCCCCTTCCTTGTGATCTATGAGCTGATCCACATCGGTGATATCAAGTTCTAACGTCAGCATTCTTGCCGTACGCACGGTTTTTCCACTGATCTCTTCCATCCTATTATCCTAATCAAATGCTTGGAGCATGTTCACGTAATTCAGCAGTTTTTTCCTTGCCCCCTGCATGCGTTTTCCTGTAACTTTCTCCCAGGAAGATGCAATGTTCTGGATACACTGAAGAATATTATAATTCTTCTAGAAATTGTGTAATGTCACCATACCTCCATCTGTTGCAGCTATTGCCTGAGCAAATGTAGTCTGTAGGTAGAATGCCTTGAAGGTGACGATTGCACCTTGATCCACAGGCTGAATCACAGCTGTCATGTTGGGAGGTAGACACACCGCGTTCACATCTTGATTTAGATCATCTACGTGAGGAGGATGTCTGGGGCATTATCAAGTAGCAGCAGCATCTTGAAAGGAATGCTCTTTTTAAGGCAGTGGGCATGTACTTCTGGGATGAAATCATTTAAAAACCAGTCTTCGAATAACACAATCATCATCCAGGCCTTGGAGTTACTCCTCTAGTAGACCGACAGCTTATTTTTGTCAGTGTTTTTGAATCCTCAGGGATTTTCAGAACAGTAAATAAGAAAAGGTTTTAATTTAAATCCAACAGCATTTCCTCAAGCAACAGCATGATTCTGCCTTTAAATGCCTTGAAACCAGGTATCGACTTCATCTCTTTGTGAATATCGATCTGTTCCAGCATCTTTTTCTAAAACAAGGCTGTTTATCCACGTTGAAAATCTGCCCTGGTACATATTCCTCATCTTTTATTGTCTTGTCCAGCTCATCCTTGAATTTTTCAGCAGCTTCAACATTGTGTTTCCTGCTTCTCCAGTTATGTAAGCAAATGCCCTTGCTGGCATTACAGTACTGGGGGAGTCTTCTCCTTGCTGTTCCTTCAGGTTTTCAAAAAGGCTGCGTGCTTTTGTTTGAAAATTGTCAGTAAATTCATAGGAATCCTCTTCTGGATTTGGTCTTCTACCCAAATCATCAACAGCATCTCCATCTCGTGGATTGGCAATTGCCTCTTTGTTAAAATTGTCAATTTTATGACAATTACTCCTTTAACTGCCTCCAAAATCCTATTCTTGTCCTTCAAAAAAAAACCAAACCCATTGCCATCGAGTCAATTCCGACTCACAGCAACCCTACGGGACAGAGTAGAACTGCCTCGTAGGGTTTCCAAGGAGTGTCTGGTGGATTTGAACTGCTGACCTTTTGGTTAGCAGCTGTAGCTCTTAACCACTATGCCACCAGGGTTTCCTTCTTGTCCTTAATGATTGTCAAAATGGTTGAATGAGACAGTCCTTCCCCGTGTGCTATTTCCCCGACTTTCTTTTCATTATCATAAGCCTTAATGATCTTCATCTTGACATCCATGTCTCGAGCCTTCCTCACCTTCTTTTTTGGATTAGAACTTTTAGTGGCATGACTGCTTTTGCTAGACATATTGTTGGGGCTATAAGCAGTGCAGGTGTGACAGTTAGAGAACTTAAACGACTTAGCCTCAGATTAACAACTGATGCTTCTTATGGTATGAAACACTGAATAAGATCATGCTATAGGGTCGCTAAGTCGGAATCGACTGGACGGCAGTGGGCTTTTGTTTGATAAAGGCCTGGTCTACAGTGAAGTCAGCATCAGTGTCATAACAGTGAGGCTGGAGTCGTAATGATTGTCAGGCACGTGTGCAGTCCAGCTGTCATATGTTGTTAGAGCTGAACATCACCCAACTTTCTATCTATGACGACTTCTGACTCCGACACAAACTTCACTGCAGACCAGGCGATAGGCTGCTATACAGCAGTGTTTTGAATAGTAAAGCATAAAATTGAACATCTATAAGTGAACATCTGAGAATGATAACATCAGCAAATTACACGCCGCGACATGGTACGTCGTACATATTATTAATGATAAGAAATACCAAAACAAACAACAAGAACGAAAACAGACAGTTGTAAGTGTGGTTCGTAGTAACTAGAACACACTGTAAGCTGGGGGCTACCTGTATTTTAAATTGTGCCACGTCTTACATTGTTTCATACTGGGTTCAAAACTTTTTTTAAAATAATTTTTAGTTTTTCCTGGAGTTTCTAATTGACTTTTTTTTTTTCTTTTTGCTGATCAAAGAATAATGTATCTGCCAATCCTCAAGATTATTCAATGTCTCAATTTTATTCTCTAATACATGGAGACTACATTTTTTTTTCTGGCAGAAATCCTTCTAGACTCTTATCCTGCCTAAACTCGTTCCTGTGTAGCTGTTGTCTTGGGACTTCTCTTTACTGCCCTCCAAAGTTAAAAACACTGTTTCCCACATGCTATGTCTTCTTCCTTTTTGTGTTTTCATCCTTGTTTTGCCGGAACTCGTCCTCAAGTAACTTCCATTTGCCAGTCACTGTTTTAACTCTGGAGTTATTAAACAAGACAGAGAAAAGAACCTTCTCTCTTGAGATTACTTTGTGTAGGGGAACCAGCAAACAACAAGCAATGATCAAATACATAAGATGATTTCAGCAAGTAATAGTTATTTCTGGGAAGAAATAACAGGGGATAGAGGGCTGGGTGTAGGGCGGATTGGTAACAGTTGAGAGGTCTATAAAATATGAAGAAGTCAAAGAAGTGGACTCGGTTTTGGCAACATGGAGGTCATTGGTAATCTTGACAAGGGCATTTTCAGTGGCATTCAAAAGCTGGATGGGATACAAGGAGGTTGATACACCCAGTTAATAAGTGGGAAAGCCAAGGCTTAAGCTGAGGTCTTTTTTTTTTCCCCTGCTCCATCATGTGTGGTGAACTGGGCTGAAGGATGTGAATTAACTGGTGAAGTGTCCCAAGAACAGTGGGGTGGTGGCGGGGCTCCATAGCACCTGTCCTAGAGACCGATGTGGGTAATGGGCACAGGGACCCTGGAATGTCTCGCTTTCAGTTCTTCGGTGGGTGGGGTTATGTTTTGTGACTTCTGCCTGGGGGAACAAGCCCAGCGGCCTGTTTCCTTCTTCAACCCCTCAACCCCACAACTGCCATCAGTATTCCAGGTTTGTGAGACTGTGAGAGGGTCAGAGCTCCATCTCCTTTCCCTGCAAAGGCCCAGGGCCTCTGCCACAGAGGCAGGCCGCTGCCCCTGGCTGCTGAAGGGTTAATGCCAGCTGCTCCTAGGAGAGCAACAGTCCCAGAGGGGAGCCTCAGCTGGCTGTGGGGGTGGGGTGGGGGAATGCTCTGGAGCACCAGGCTGGTCAGGAGGACATTTCCATTTGAAACAGTTTCAGTCTGGTTCTAACCCCTGCTGACAATCTGCATTTCTAACAAGTTCCCAGGTGATGCTAATGCTGCCGGTTAGGGACCAATTCTGAGAACCACTAGTAAGCCAACTCACTGCTGTCAGGTTGATTCTGACTCATAGTGACCCAGTAGGATTTCCAAGGCTGTAAATCTCTAAGGAAGCAGACTGCCACATCTTTCTCCCACAGAGCCACTGGTGGTTTCGAACCACCAGCCTTTCAGTTAGCTGTCGATCGCTTTAACCACCGTGTCACCAGGGCTCCTTACCAGTACGGCAGTCGTTCTCTAAATGTATTATACGTAAGAATCACCTGGGGATCTTGTTAAACTGTAGATTCTGATTCAGTATATCTGGAGTGGAAATGCCAATTCTCAGCAGGGATTCAAACCGGAACGAACCAGTTCAAAGCCCTAATTTGAAATTGTTCTTCTTTTGCAGCAGGCTGGGGAC